CCTTGATATAAGTATGAAAGCTTCTAGGATTCTAGGGCAATTTGTATATGGCAGGATATCCATATCTTTTCATTACAATTACATGTAATCATGATTGGCTGGAGATTCGATACATGGTTGATTTGATAAAGACTACTACTAGAAAAGATCTCATAGAGATGATGTACTTGCAAGAGTTTTCAAGCTAAAGCTAATCAATTGCTGAGATTTTCAGGAAAACATGTGTATGTAAGTTATATTCCATAACTTTAATTCAAACATCCTCAATTCATCATTTGTTTGGTAATCATTATCTTTTAATTTAGATTAATATAGATAATTTCTTTCATTCCATATGTAATGATAATTGAATTGAAAAAACATGGTCTACTTTATGCTCATTTATTAGTTTTCCTAGTGGTAGAAGATAAATTCTAGGGTCCTTCATAAATAAATTCAATTATATATGTTGAATCTCATATCATTAAGCAGATAGCCAGATCCTTCATGTTATGAAGCAGTTTTAAATTTTATGTTTCATAGTCCATGTGGCATTCGAGAACCTAAAGCTCCATGTATAACTAATGATGTATATATGTTGTAAACATTTTGCGAAGGAATTATGTAGGGAAAAAACTATTCATGGCAATGGTTTTGCAAGTTATCAGCATCGAGAGAACAACCGAGTGTTTATGATGAATGGGGTCTCACTAGATAATCAGTGTCATTCCTTATAACATATACCTACTATTATGATTTCACTCATATCAATGTCAAATTTCGTAACAAATCAATTTTAGTTATTCCTCTCGTGATCTTTTTATATCCCACTAAATTAATCTTATATACTGGTTCAATTATTATGGTCTCCTGTGGTTTCTTTTTTCTCCTGAACCACTTTTTGCTTTTTATTCGTTATTCATATGTCTAAAAAAATACTTCCCGATGAGAATCATTCAAACAACCAAATAATGCTTCAATCGTGGAAAAATGAATATAGTACATATAATTTTATTGGCATAATTATATACATCTGACAGTTTAATGTATGTTCATGTCACATGTGATTTAGGGAAACAACCAAAACACAAAAATCTTCAATAACTTGTGTGTTGTATTGATGATGTTAAAGCATTTCTAGATTGTCGTTACATAACATCATATGAGGAATGATGGAAATCTTTTAAGTATGATCTAGATGTAATTCACCTTCTATGTTGCGTATGTCATTTTTCTGGGAGAATAAAGTAGTGACAAAGGAGAACCAAACGATTGAAAAGTTATTGAAAGAAATGCAACATCAATGTATTGGCATGGATGTAAATCAATGTTCATTCTTCTGAGGCACGAAAATATAACTTTGTGGAGTTTCCCAATATTTTGTTTGGAATCGGAATTTGAAAGGGTGACAGATGAAGAATAATAAGATTTGTATTGAAAGATTATATTATTGTCCTCCATAAGGCAAAGTAAGATTTTTTCTTCGCATGTTGCTGCATTTAGTTAGAGGTTGTCATTCTTATGATGAAATTATAACAATTAATGGAGCTAAAAAATTTTCATTCTCGATTTCATATTCCAATTAACTGTGATTCAAAATGAACATCTCACATTGAGCAAGTTAGCATAGTTGATTCAGAATGCTTCTCTTATAATTTCAGATGAAATTCCCATGGGCCATAAGAATAACATTGAAGCAGTGGATAGAACTCTCATTGACACTTTGCATGTGAAATATCCAAGCAGCGAGGACATGATACTTGGAAGAGTTTTTGTTATGATCGGCAAAGATTTTCGACAAACATTACCTGTAATTGCTAAGGTAACCTAAGCAAATATGGTAAATTCTTCTATCAAGAGGTTGTATTTATAGCCTTCATTGAGAGTGTGGAAGCTCTACCAAAATAGGAGAATGTGTTCGAAAATATGTGGGCCTGAAGAAGCTATTCAGATCGTAGAATCCAGTGAATGAATTTTTCAAATAGGTGATGTAGTGGGTTCCAAAGTTTTTGGGGGGTCAATGGTTTCAATTCCAACTTCATTGAGCATTCCACGAGAAGGAGATGTCATTGATCATATTGTGAATCATGTGTATATGGTGGTCCCCATTTGAATTATAGTGAAGGAAATTATGTCGACGATAGATAGTTACGTGATTGGAAGGTTTCTAGGATATGAGTTTTTAACATAGTTCAGTGCAATTGAGGTTGATCTTGGTAAGCAACATCACATAGATGAAGATTATTTATGTAGTTTCTTAGCACATTGAAGATTAGTAGTTTCCCATAACATTCTATTAGGTTGAAAGTTGGATGTTGAGTTGGTCCCATTTCATGGGGTTTGTCTTTTTATTTTCATTAATGTTGATGAGTCTATTAGAATGTCGAAAAACACTATGATATTGATTTTTTGAATGATTCAAGTATTTCACTAATTTGAATTCTCTTATGCTACCAATCATTTTGAATGTTTCGAGCAGTTAAATAATTTATATTTTATTTTTTAGTATACAACCAAATACACATATCGTGAAATTAATCCGGCCAACTGGCCGGGCCCAAGACTAGTATTGTAATATACGAGACTCTCGGTTAGTTAAATGTTTCGAAAAGAGTTAAAATCTTTTTCAATAGTCAATATTAATGACAAATAAAAAATGCCATCCAAGGGCCGAATTAGCTAGTCTAGCTTGGAAACATGCAAGTTCCATCCATTTGTCAGAAAATGAAAGCACGACCATATTAACGAGGTCATAATGTAGTGTTCTCTAGTGAATGATCTGGCATATATAAGTCAAAAGTTTGTTGGATTTCCCCTTATCTTTGACGTACAAAGTTTAATAAAAAAGAAGAAGAAGAAGAGGAACAACCACATGGCAAAAAATAAGGTTGCACAGGTTAGGTTGGGTTAGGGTCCAATAACAGTGATAAACATAAAAGAAAAGGAACGTTAAAGAACAAAGTACACAACAAGGTTAAAAGTAAAACCTGTTTTCACTTTACAGAAGAACCACTCAGACTTCACACTCCACTGACAATTCACAATTCATCATCGTCCAAACACTGCCCTAAAGTGTATTTGTAACCCATGTTTCCAAATCATGGCCCAAGCCCCAAAGAATGCCCTAGAAAATTAGTGATTGTTTTCTTATATACAAATTCAGAGTAATACATTCAAGACAAGGTTCTCAAAATGGGCAGAACAAAAGGAATGTACAGCGAAAGAAAATTAAAAGTATATCATTGATTTGTTAAAGCACAAGCAACAGATTCAAAAATAGTTTAGTAATATGGTTCAAGGTCGGCGGTCTTGAAGAGTTTCCATAGGCATTCGACATAAAAAAATTGCCTTTATGTAGCTGAATCAATGAAAAATCATTCTACAAGCCTCTTAATGATGCGTTCACGGAATGTCGTGTGCTTTTCCCAGCATCGTTGAACGTTCGAGAATTAAATTCTTCCCAAAGTCTAAAAAAAGTAGCATGGAGAAGGCATGAGAGAGTATACCAAAATTAGCAGACACATAAGATTTTTAATTCAAAATTGAATAATATTATAAAAATAATCACAATAAATAAATTAAAATTAATAAAATAATCTCATGTCCCTCTCCATTTCTGTTTGATCGGAATCCGACCAAAGGCCAATCGTTTGCACCATTTCTTATGTGAGAAATCTCTCTAGCGAGGAGAGGACACCCACTACAAGAAAAGGTGTCTATGGCAAGGGTTATTTTTACCTATAGCAAGGGTTTTAACCCCTGCTACAGGATATAGCAAGGGTTTTATCAACCCTTGGACGGACCCTTGGCAAAGCTGCCCTTGCTACGTAAAGCAAGGGTTTTAAGCGACCCTTGGTGGAAGTCCCATGCAGGGGTTCTACCAAGGGTTTTGAACCCCTGCTACGTTATTAAGGGTTTAAACCCTTGCTATACGTCCCTTAAATTAAAAGGAATCATTGACACATAACTTACATGTAGCAAGGGTTAAAACCCATGGTATACTTCGCAAAAATTAAAATAAATTAGTGTCACTTTTTCGTCACCAAACTTGTCGTCGCTAATATTCAAACTAATCGTATCTTTCGGAACCACTATCTCGTTACTAAAGTAGATATTTCCGTCATTAAATAAAAAGTCACCCTAAACAAAAAAAATCCTTCAATAAATTGTAATATTCTTATTATGATATTCAATCATACCATAATCGTACAGTGATTAACAATCTTAAAACAACATAATTCATATGACATTCAAAATATCTAAACGTATTATGAACACTAGAAAACATCTAGAGTACACCTTTATGATCTGTAACTCCTATTAGAAAGTCGGATGCATGCGAGAGCCTGAATGCCTGATGAACACTTGCTCCTTGGTTGGACTAGAAATTTGTCACCGCTGCTGGAACACTAATCTGCTTTAAGAAACCAATTCTGCAATACAGTAAAAGCACTAGCAATTTTATGATTTTATAAGCAAGTAGAAGCTCATTGTTTACAACTAATGCTCTCAAGCTCACAAGAGACCCGTGCTCTTCTATGGACTTAAGCTTCTTTTTCTCATTTGTTAATATTTGATCCACAAAACATGCAAATTTTTTCCTTACAGTGTAGTCAAGGAGTCTAGAGATGAACAATGAAGGAAAACTTGATGAATCGAAGTTGTTGTTGCTGATGTCCCTGCCAACAACATACAAGAAGTAGTTAACTATGTGACTTTCCATTATTACTCAAAATAGCAACTGCTATGTGGATTCAGCTTACAGAGAGCTAAGGACTCCCATGTCGCTGATGTATGGAAAATGACCATTCAGATTATTGTTGGATAACCTCCTGTAAGTTATAACCAATCTGGTCAGCACGCTGTTCAAGCCTTCCTACACGATGATAAGCAGCACAAGTTTAGAAAGGTAAACCAAGCCATATGAGTCGTTAGACGTTTTCTGTTCTGAGGAAATCAAACTATAAGTGATAGGTACCTGATCAACGTCGATCTTGTAAGTAGGTACAGAGGGTATTCGTCGCTAAGTTTTGTTGTGACAGGAGATATAAACTTACCTGCAACAAATCTTAGCAGGAACCATATCGATTTTCAGGAACATGTTATGTGGAAAAGAATCTGACACCCATGAAAGAAAACGACTAAACTTGTCTAGAATAAGGTGGGTTCAGAAAATTACAGGGGCCACACCACACAGCAGTGAAGTAGTAGACTGCAGGCAATGACTTATCTGTTACAAAGACGAACAGATTTGACACAAGTTGTTAGTAGCATGAAGCAGTCGGCAACCATTTACAGCAAATGAAGTAAAATAGCTAACCTTGAACGTCTTTGAGAGAGCTATTAAACTCCTGTTCTGTCTTAATCAGCACAACATTTGATGAACCTGAACCTAACTTAACAACGAGACTAAGCAAAAAGAAGCTACAAACTTGGTCAAAAAGAAAAACCCCAATAAACCAACGCGAAAAGAGGATTACGAAGTGCACCTACCAATGAGCTAAAGCTCCTATTGAACTGCAGAGGAGTTGAGGCATGGAAGACAACTGGGGTTGTGCTTGCAGCGGCGAATGAGGGACAGCCGACGAGGAGTTTCTAGGATATATGAGCACTTGGTGAGGAGGTTAGGTTCGCCAGGGGAGCAGCGGTTTCCCCGAGAATCTTTACCCTGATCATATCCCTTACTATGGCAAAGCTTATCTGGTCCCTTGAAGTAAGCAGTCAGCTTCATCGAATGAAGAACAAAAGCATGTTTCCTTAGTTGTCTGCTATAAGAAAAAATGTAGTAACTCAGTATGTCTCTTGAAAGATTTGATGTATTCCATAGCAGCTATAGACACTTAAAGTTGATGCAGCCAAATTTAGTCACCATGTGCAGCCATGATCAAGATGAAACGGACCTGACGATAAAGTCCAATCCCACTGCCACTGACACGCTAAAACACAACACCTAACAATGGCCAAGTGTAACCAATGAAAGGGACTGCAGTATAGGCAAGTTTAATTATCAACCCGGGGTCTAGATCTACTGCTTACTCCGTGATTCTCTATTATCTAGCAAACTAATTCGAGTGATTGTTGTTTAAAAGCAAAAGCAGTAAGAAAGCAGTAAACTGTTCGGTTTTCTAAAACAGGTAAGAGTCACTCGGGAATGAGTCCCCCTAGCCCCTTAGTTAGGTTCAATTGCAATTCCCTGGGTTGATTTACTGTTGATTAGACTGCGGAAGATCCGACACTAGCTTGGAATCTCTTAAGCTGACCAAGCCCTCTCAGTCTAACTACCCGGCAGACGACTAGTCTTCACCGGGATAGAAAGCTGAGGCTATGAACACAGAACTCCACTACTGGAATTGAATTCCAGTACAAAGCAGTAAACTGGCTAACTCTCGTATAGCCAATCTCCTACTATCGAATGAAGAAGCTCTAACAACCTAATCAGATTCTATCTATCTCAGGTTGAAGCAGAAATTGAGACAAGCTGATCAGACTCAAATCAATTCATGAAACATGCATCATTCGATTAAAATCAAACAATAATATCATCCCAAGTCATTACAATCAAATCCCTAACACAAGGAACTAGGGTTCTTCATACCCAAGTGAGAGAAAGGTTCTACTCCATAGAGAGAGAAGAGAAAACAGAAATCAGAGTAGTCATACTCATAAAGATGAGGAAAATCTGCTCTGGGATGTCAATCTTCACTCCTAGGGACGCAATCTGGGCTTCAATGATGAGAAATCCACTCCAAAACAGCTCCTAGGGTTTGTTCTTCGCTCTTTCTCTCTCTAAAACTCTGTTTTTGCCCAGAAAATCGAATTCCCCTTCCTTGGCTCGAATCTGCCTCCAAAAACCCGACTCTGGGCGAATTACGGGCAGGATTACGGCCGTAATCACTTCCTGCCCGTAATTCACACCAAAACGCACGTTTCACTTAAGCTGCAGGAGGAGGAGATACGCCCGTAATTTCCCAATTACCGCCAGTAATTTGGGAATTACGGCCGTCATTCTTGGGGTCTTGCCCGTAATTTTATCACCGCGAGGGAATTCTGGGTAGAAGGCTCGGCCAATAAATTACGGGCATGCCCTGGCCAATTACGGCCGTAATTTGGCAGGGGCTGCCCGTAATTCTGTCTCCGCTCCTGTTCAAAGCTTCGTTTCTCCCTCGTCCGGACTCCAAATCAGTCGCCGTTTGAACCCAGACGCTCGTAGTCTCGTCCTCTTTCTTTTCATGACAAGCTTGCATGATTCTTTTTCCATAAAGTGAGGTAGAAATCCATTCTTCTTCAGGTCATACCCGAGTTTCTTCTCCCGAATCGTCAATTGATCTCTGATTGACTTGAAACTTGCGCCTATGCTTCACTTTATGTGCTAGGACCTGAAATGTGACAAAGGAACACAACCTAGCGTAAAATAGGCCAAGGAACAATCAATTCGAGCCAAAATGGGCAGGAAACCAGAGTGAAAACACGTGCAAATACGATGCTATCAAATTCCCCCACACTTAACTGTTTGCTTGTCCCCAAGCAAACCAAGTACTACACAAGGTAAGCTCACATATTTCAGTCAATCAACATTGGGGACAAGTCATAAAGGCACAGAACACGTGAATCAAACTGGTTTTCAAACATCAACACATGAACAACTTTAACAGCAACCTGGACAACCACCACAAAGGACATTCGAGTGCAGCAAAATCGAGCAACGGAAGAGTTTTACCTTCTGTTCACCAACCAACCCAGACTTGACTCGACCACTCACTCAAAACAGTCAACTCATGCATTCAACTCAAGACATCAGAACAGAGACCGAGCAATCTAGGTCCTCACCGGGGTACAAGAGTATAGAGAATATGAAAATGAATCACTCACTCTCGACCAGTGGGGTCAGGACAATTTAATGCGAAAAATGCGCATGCTATTTCTCTCATCCCTAACATCTCTTCACCATGATGGCAGCCTCTAAATGCTAGAGTTCACATACATAATGTCATCACTAACTAATCAGGAGGTCTTAGACACATGTTCAAATGACTGGCTAGGGTCTTGGACATGGGGAAAAAGCCTTTTCGGTGGTGGAAGTATTCATAGCAAAAGGTTCCACATTTCCCAAACACACAATCACAGTCAAACAAACCGGTATTTCCTTTATGCTATTCTGCAATACTCAACATCTCAAGAGCACAAGAGCGAAGGAGGCATAAACATCAGCATTTCCAAGCCAGACTGCTAAGAAACACTACTTAATGGGCATTATTCAGATTTTTGGTAGTGGCTCTCTTTTGCTTTCAATTTTTTCTTTGTTTTACTTTCATTTTTCTTTTCATTTCTTAAAAGAGCCACCACTCCTGCACAAATTTCAAACACCTGCCCAACTTTTAAGCACTACCTCCAACACTCACATAGACTTTAGCAGAAACAGCAGAGAATATGTAAAAACCACTCTGTGGAACCTTCTAAAAGATGCAACAAGGGTGATTTTTTCCGTTATAGACCAAAAGAAAGGATAACACACGGCTCAAAGGGGCTGACTAGGGGATATGACACATCAGGACAGTCAGTTTTTGGGCGTGGGCTAATCCTATGCCCCCATCATCTTAGCTAGTGACAACGTGAATGCTACGCATCATGGAAGAGGGATCTATCGCACAAGAAAGAAACGAGCAGGCTCAAATCTCACATGGCTACCTATATGCTCTATCTCACATTCTGATACCCTGAACTAGATGCATAAACGACTGTCAAGAACAAGTGATCAGATCAAGTCACAGTTGGCAAGCAAACAGCTGAAAAACTGAACCCCTACATCGTTCTACTGCACATCTCAGTCCTCATCATAGGTTGTCCTAGTCGCAAACAAGTTGTCATGCATTAATCCGAAAACCAATCAATTCATCCATCAAAACACAGTGCCAATATGATCAAACAGCAGTACTTGGAGCCCTCAAATCGTAAGATTCGGACAGTGGACTAGGCTCCAAGCACCATCAAAAATATTCCAACCGATACAAAACATCCCCCCACACTTAAGCACGACATTGCCCTCAATGGAGTAGAGGGAAAGATAAGGGGAACGATGTTACCGGGTAAGAACACTGCTGGGGGACTGGAAGTGGACCAGTCAGCGGGCTAGCATCAGCAAAACACACTGGGTGATAGAAACCATAGTTCCAAGTGGACAAACCGACAAAAACAAACGAAAGAAAAACAAACCTTGGTGGGGTTGCCTCCCCACAAGCGCTTCTTTACCGTCTTTTAGCTGGACGCCAGTATGGATGCTCAGGGAAGTGTAGGATCAGGTGCCTTCAAGAGCGGATCCACATCGCTCTTGAGGTACAGCTTCAAATGGTGGCCATGCACGCGACGAATATGGCCACCAGCATTTGCCAGCTCGACTTGGCCATCCGGTAGGATGCAAGCGAGTGAATACTCGGATGGCCAAGGTGGGGGCGGGACCAGCTCATAGTGGTCTCCGGCTTTCTTTCGAGCAGGCTTAGCTGCCTGCAGTTTCGGCCGCCACTCCTCCTTGATCTGTTCTTTGGATGACGGGGTGGTCCGGAGTGGCGGCGAAGGTGTGGGAGGCGGTTCCTGCAAAATAGGCAGCACAGAAGGATACACGACAGACTCGTGCTCCTGGTGAGATACAGCATGCAGAGGTAGCAAAGCAGGTATAGTATCAGCAACAGAAAACGTTATTCGCTCCTCGCCATCTCTCAAAACTAAGGTCCCATCATGCACATCTATGAGAGCCTTGGCGGTGGCCAGGAAAGGCCTTCCCAGTATAAGAGGCACTTCTGTGTCCTCACTGATGTCCAGGATAACAAAATCCACAGGATATGTGAATTTGCCAACCTTAACCAGAAGGTCTTCCACTATACCCCTAGGATGCACTACAGATCTGTCAGCTAATTGAAGAGTCATCCTAGTAGCACGGGGTTCACCTAGGCCTAGTTTCATGAACAATTTATACGGCATAACATTGATACTAGCACCTAAATCCGCCAAGGACTTCTCTACATGCAATTTATCAATAGAGCATGGGATAGTAAAACTACCTGGGTCCTTTTTCTTCTGCGGAAGCTTGTTCTGCAGAATAGCCGAGCACTCCTCGCTGAGCTCCACAGTGGCCAGCTCACTCAGCTTCTGCTTCTTTGAGAGAAGCTCTTTAAGAAACTTCGCATACTTCGGCATTTGCGATAGTGCCTCCAGGAAGGGCACTTGGACATTCAGCTTCTTGAGCATGGCCATGAAGTTCTCGAACTCCGTCTCCAGCCTGTCTCTGTGCAACCGAGTAGGGAAAGAGAGTTTAGGGACATACTCCTTCACTACTGGTTGCGGTTTAGGTGCAGGCACCTCAACCTCCTTCTCTACTTCTTGTTCCACCGCTGGAGATGCTGCAACAGGGCTTTCTTTCTCCGGTTCCCGAGCAGGGGGGTCAACAGTCAGCTTGCCACTCCTGGTCATGATGGCATTGCACCGCTCATCCGGGGTCTGCGGGTGAGGGATGGTCTGCGCTGGTAGAGTACCAGGCGCCCTTTGAGCCACTGCCTGGGCCACGCTCCCCAGCTGGGTCTGGATATCTTGCAAAACAGCCTGTGTATTCCTCTGACCAGCTTCAAGAGCCAGAAGTTTCCCCGAGGCCTTCTCCATGAACTGCTCAAAGGTGTTGAACTTCTGAGCACTGGTATTG